TTATTGTCATTTTCATTTGTTAGAACTTTTTTAAGCCATGTTTTTATGTGTTTTCGATATTTCAATAATTTTTTAATATAATCTTAAAATATGTCGAATATTATAACAACAACGGCTTCAAGGAAAGTTGATGTTCAAAATTGGCTCCGCTCGAAAAATATCAACTTTGAAGAAGCAATGCTGAAAGTACAACTATTAAGAATTGTCAAGGATCACAAGGCGGAATATCAAAAATACGCCATTGACGAAATGGCAGCAAGTCAAAATAAAACTGTGCTCTGTTTACCTCCATACCATTGCGAGCTCAATCCCATTGAGCTCATATGGGCAGAGGTTAAAAATTATATAGCTAAGCACAATACAACTTTTAAATTTTGTGACCTCAAAGGACTTTTCAAAGAAGCACTAGAATTAATAACAGCGCAAAAATGGGAAAACTGTATTAAGCACGTGAAAGACAAAGTTGAAAAGAGAATGTGGGAACTGGACAATTTTTTAGAGGAACAAATCGAGCCATTCATTATTGGCGTTGGTGCTTCAGGCAGTAGCGATGATGAAAGCTCATCAAGCTCATCTTTCCAATAAAAGATGTCGTTCATCAAATTCGGTAAGTTATAAGTAATTATAAAGCTACTGTATTTTTTAATTAATTATTGACATTTTTGAACCCATTTTGGCAAAACCTATTCAAGAATCTACTTTCTGACAATGTTCAACCATGCACATTTTTTTACGTTTTGAACGTTTTAATTTGGTTACATATTTACCTAGAAATCAAAAAATATACTAATCAATATTCTAAAAGCAATTTTAAGAGATATACGATTATTTTTAATTTAGGCTAATTTAAACGCCATTTTGAGATTATATTCGACTGTATTTCACCAAACATCAGGCGGCATCCGAAGCGAAAATTTTGAAACCCTTATGTACATTTACATCATTATATATTTCTTACCCCACCCCCACATGATTGTATATCCATCATCAATCGTATACACATCGAATTGTGCTAATTTACTACAAAGTTACGCAAAGCAGCATCTACTATCTAAAATATGTACTGCGTGACTCTTAATACGTCCCTGCCGAATGTTACAGCGTTCGATGATCACGTGGTCTTGTTTATGTCCGGTCTATCTCTTATCTGAATATACTGTAGATATTGGTTCAACAAATTTAAACGTTGGCGATCATCCGTTTTTGATGAGGAACGACCAGGACGCCTGGCAGACGTGGTTACTGAGGGAATCATTCAAAAAGTCCACGATATGATTCTCGCTGATCGACGAACGAAAGTGCGCGAAGTAGCAGAGGCCGTAGGTGTGTGGCTATGAAAAAATTGTCGGCCCGATGGGTGCCGCGATTGTTCACGGTAATCAACAAGCGGATGCGGCAGTTAACTTCAAAGAAGTGTTTGGAACCTCCGAACTAACAATTATCACTCCTGTTAGAGTTGCAATAATGATTATACAGTATTCCTTAAACAGCATTGTATACTGTAAGAACATTGGCAAAACCCTCTTAGAACAGCTATCAAGCGGAATGGGCACACCTAATAGGACACTTCAGTCATTTAAGAGGTTGTATAAGGGCTGCAGGTAACAGTTATAAAACAAAAGTGTAAGCCTCTTGCAGCCGCTATAGGACATTTGCGTCAGTGTAAGATTCAGTTTTTGTCAACTATACAACTATTCTGTTACGTGATTCTACTTTATTGCAACAAAACTATTTCTGATGTATTGTATAGACGAAGTGAGGAATATATAACTAATACATTACTGTCATCTTGTTTACATTATCGGCCATTGTGAATTTCATACACAGGTATATGATTAACTTCTACACCGTGATATAGGGCTATTGAATTACTTGCGCAGCAAATTTTATTGTGATTATCGTGCAAATTAGTTACCCAATTTCTACGGGCTTCGTATTTGATTCATATTTTGACAATGATCAAAAGTATGTCTAGATTTTGAAGATGGAAAACTGAACTTATCTGCGTTAAATCGTTCACAAATCCTATATTTAGACACAATTACACTAATGTTTATCTCTTTATATACTAAGTGACATATAAATCCGAACACCCAGTTTAAATGGTTTTATTTTAATAAAAGTTAGTGAATGTATTTATCTTACTGTAAATAACAAGTGAAAAAATGTTCAGCCTTATCAGTTGGACATTCCGGTTTAAATACTTAAATTTTTTTTAATTCACTAACGCTCTAAAACTGAATATTTCAGCCGCAGTAAAGAATCAACGTTGGCGGATTTTGGTTCTTGACATCCTTTACGATCGGTTTCGATGCCTTGAGTACGGAGACCTGTACGATTTCGTCAACTTAGTGAGTTTGATAGGGGCCGTATAGTGGGACTTCGGGAAGCTGGACTTTCTTTTCGGGCAATTGCAGTTAGAGTGCAAAGAAGTGTAGACACTGTGGTTAGGTGTTGTCAGGCATGGCTTCGAGAAGGCCGTACGCAAAGAGCAAGGGGCACTGGACGCCGCCGTAGAACAACAGACCGTGAAGATCGCCGCCTAAGATTATTGGCCTTAAGGGACCGTTTCTCCACTACCAGGTCCATTGCAAATGAATGGTTTGCAGAACACGGAAGACCTATTGGCATGCGAAGTGTTTACCGACGAATGAGAAGTAGTGGCTTGTTTTCATTCCGGCCACACTGGGTCCTCCCTTTAACTCGAGAACACCGACGTAATCGCCTTGAGTGGTGCAGACAACGGTCACTCTGGGATCAGGAATGGAACAGTATTGTCTTTAGTGACGAGTCTTGATTTTGTTTAGGCATACACGATGGTCGTGCCAGGGTTAGAAGGCGACGTGGTGAAAGGAGGAATCCACAGTTTTTTGTTGAAAGACATGTTCATCACACTGTTGGAGTTATGGTTTGGGGTGCTATAGCTTATGGTTCCAGGTCACCTTTAATCTTCATCAGAGGTAACATGAACGCGCAGCGTTATATCCACGAAGTTCTAGAACCCCATCTTTTACCCTATCTTGACACCCTGGCAGATCCAACTTTCCAACAAGATAATGCCCGACCACATGTTGCAAGAGTCACAATAGACTTCTTTCAACATAATGATGTCACATTGTTACCATGGCCACCAAGATCTCCCGACTTATCCCCAATTGAGCACGTGTGGGATATGATGGGTAGGAGATTGCTCAATTTGCAACGTCCTCCTCAGACTCTAGAAGCACTTCGAGAGGAGTTGATGGTTGCCTGGAATGAGATACCACAGGAGGGCATTGACCACCTGATCAAAAGCATGCCTAGGCGCGTTGGAGAATGCGTAGCACATCAGGGTGCATCCACACATTATTAAAGGTCAAAGGACTTTAAAGCAGTGCAATCATTTTGAAATTTTCATCATTTACTTATTATGCTTCATTAAGTACTTATACAAAATTTTATTAAAATAAAACCATTTAAACTGGGTGTTCGGATTTATATGTCACTTAGTATATCTGTAATAGAGGAATAAATGTTTGCTCAATATGGCGGGTGGTTGTGTACAATCATGGCATCGTCTATGTTGTCTTTAGGTTATTAGAATATTTTGGTGTTGCCTGCAGGAGATATACAACAATTTGACAAATGTCTGAAATGAAATACCGACAGAGTCGAATGATTTACCCAGAATTTGTACCAGATCTATATCTTCTGGTTGAACAGTTGATAAAACCTTTTGAACCAATATGCATGCGTTGTTTGCCTTAAAACATTGGTTATGGCATTTTACAAAAATATGACAGCAGAAAGTTAGGTTATGGTGAAGTTGTTTACCAACATATTTAGCATATGTACAGGCTATAACAGTTACTAAACAACAGTTGTATAAGTGCTTCCGTTGGGAGCAATTTGTTGGCTAAAGTAGTAAATTGCACAGCAAAACAACAAGGCTCGGGTTTGTTTTATAAACGTTACAATGGATGCCACAACACAACGATTTTGACTAACGTGCAAATATGCCGTATAAAATAGTTGTATAAACGTTTATGCAACAGTTAAAAATTTTCCCTATAAGATGTTGTATAACTATGCTATAAGAATATTTTAAACACCTCATTTTAGAGCAAATATGTTGCAGAAAGCAAATTTGCATTCCACACAACATTAAGCCAGCATTTTGGTGTTCAGGCAACAACAATAGAGAGCTTTTATGGCTGAACGGTTCTTTTACCAAAAGCTTATACCACTACTTTGCTAGTTGGGCTGGATTCATCATTACACACCAGAAACTAAGCAACAATCAAAACAATGTATTTCTCCCAGTAAATCTGTTCCAAAGAAGGCGAAGATGGTCGCATCGGCCGGAAAGGTCATGGTGACGATTCTTTGGAATGCGAACGGCGCCATCCTCGTGGAGAACGATCACTGTAGTTATTTGATCGCTTCGACAAAAAATTGAAGGAGACACGGCCACATTTGACCAAAAAAAACATTCATCCGGAGTTGTCGCCGCTAAAGTGCATGAATTGCGTTATGAAGTGCTACCGCGTATTCACCCGATCTGGCCCGCTGCGACTTTTTCTTGTTCCCTGACATGAAGAAATGGCTCGTGGGGAACAAATTTACCTCAAACGAGGAAGTTATCGTATTTTGGACAGTTCCACAAACCATATATTTTGGTCGGGTTAAAAAAATTGCAGGAATGGTGGGAAAAGTGTATCTTTCAAAAAGGGGATTGTGTGTTGAAAAATAAAAAGAAAAAACGGTGTCTTCATTTCTAACACGGGTACTTATTGAACCGCCCTCGTACGTTATATAAAAAAATAAAGCGCACATCGAGTGTTGAGATGTTTGTGATACAAAAAGTGTCTCAAGGTGAAGTAAAGCTAGGCAGGTTTATCACACGATTAAAATTCGATAGTAACAGATATGCTAAGTACACATTACTCAAATCATTTAGCTACCTCCGAATAGATCCTATTACATTAATGTGAAAATATGGATATCTCTATTGCACTCACCCAAAACTTAGATCCACAAAATTCGTCCATTTGTAGTTCACGGTTTAACTGAAATCATGAAAAAATCAAAGCCATAGAGAGGGAAAGATTATAAGAGGTATTTGTTATATATCATTTGTACACTTGATTATAATTACAGATAAGAAACGTAACGTTCGTGTAACATGATCGTACTAGTATTGATCGTTCTATTTCAGATGTTATACTAGTATCATTTTTCACTGTAAATAATATCATGCCTATACAGGGTGTTAATTAAGTATGTACCATAAATTTAACAGACGGTTCTTTGAATAACTCCAAGACAAAAGGTTCATATAAACATGGGTCCGCAAATTATTTGTTCTAAATATAAAATTTGAAAAAAATTGTATTTCGTAAATATCTTAAATATCCTTTACCTAATTTAATTGTAATTTCTCGATGGTACTTACAATATTATGGAGCTAATTTAGCCCTAGCTTTATTGAGTCCAGTGGCGTCTCAAGCGCGATCTCACTAATACTTGTGACGAAAAAATTACTTTTTGCAATTTTTATTATATTCTTTGGATTGAGCAAATAAAAATACAACTTTTTTGTCTATTGTTTTTTTAATCTTGCGTAGTTTTCGAAAAAAAAAAGTCCACCTAACTGCATATTCCTGGACCACACAATGAATATGGGGCAAAGCTTCTTTTGGAAATGATGTTTTTTATAATTTTTTTGTGACTAACTATTTAACTACAATGACAACAAATATCAAATAACAATAACAGAATTAGTAATAAAGAATTCTAAAATATACTAAGTGACATATAAATCCGAACACCCAGTTTAAATGGTTTTATTTTAATAAAATTTTGTATAAGTACTTAATGAAGCATAATAAGTAAATGATAAAAATTTCAAAATGATTGCACTGCTTTAACCTTTAATGATGTGTGGATGCACCCTGATGTGCTACGCATTCTCCAACGCGCCTAGGCATGCTTCTGATCAGGTGGTCAATGTCCTCCTGTGGTATCTCATTCCAGGCAACCACCAACTCCTCTCGAAGTGCTTCTAGAGTCTGAGGAGGACGTTGCAAATTGAGCAATCTCCTACCCATCATATCCCACACGTGCTCATTTGGGGATAAGTCGGGAGATCTTGGTGGCCATGGTAACAATGTGACATCATTATGTTGAAAGAAGTCTATTGTGACTCTTGCAACATGTGGTCGGGCATTATCTTGTTGGAAAGTTGGATCTGCCAGGGTGTCAAGATAGGGTAAAAGATGGGGTTCTAGAACTTCGTGGATATAACGCTGCGCGTTCATGTTACCTCTGATGAAGATTAAAGGTGACCTGGAACCATAAGCTATAGCACCCCAAACCATAACTCCAACAGTGTGATGAACATGTCTTTCAACAAAAAACTGTGAATTCCTCCTTTCACCACGTCGCCTTCTAACCCTGGCACGACCATCGTGCATGCCTAAACAAAATCGAGACTCGTCACTAAAGACAATACTGTTCCATTCCTGATCCCAGAGTGACCGTTGTCTGCACCACTCAAGGCGATTACGTCGGTGTTCTCGAGTTAAAGGGAGGACCCAGTGTGGCCGGTATGAAAACAATCCAAAACTTCTCATTCGTCGGTAAACACTTCGCATGCCAATAGGTCTTCCGTGTTCTGCAAACCATTCATTTGCAATGGATTTGGTAGTGGAGAAACGGTTCCTTAAGGCCAATAATCTTAGGCGGCGATCTTCACGGTCTGATGTTCTACGGCGGCGTCCAGTGCCCCTTGCTCTTTGCGTACGGCCTTCTCGAAGCCATGCCTGACAACACCTAACCACAGTGTCTACACTTCTTTGCACTCTAACTGCAATTGCCCGAAAAGAAAGTCCAGCTTCCCGAAGTCCCACTATACGGCCCCTATCAAACTCACTAAGTTGACGAAATCGTACAGGTCTCCGTACTCTAGGCATCGTAACCGATCGTAAAGGATGTCAAGAACCAAAATCCGCCAACGTTGATTCTTTACTGCTGCTGAAATATTCATCTTTAGAGCGTTAGTGAATTAAAAAAAAGCAGTATAAAAACCGGAATGTCCAACTGATAAGGCTGAAAAATTTTTCACTTGTTATTTACAGTAAGATAAATACATTCACCAACTTTTATTAAAATAAAACCATTTAAACTGGGTGTTCGGATTTATATGTCACTTAGTATAAATAATTTCCAAAAGAAACCTTTTCCCATATTCCTTGTGTGGTCCAGGGAGATGCAACTAAGTGGACTTTTTTTCTCGAAAACTAAGCAACATACGAAGAAGATTTAAGAGACAAAAAAGTTGTATTGCCTTTTGATTAATCCCAAGAACGTAATAAAAATTGCACAACAGTCAGTGGCCTATTTTTTTATCCCAAATGTTCGTTCAGATCCCGCGGCACCCAACTTGATAAATTTAATCAAGTTGGAGCTAAATTGATTCCTTAATGTTATAAATACCACCGCCAAATTACAACAAAATTAGGTAAATGATATTTAAGATACTTACGGAAAAAACAATTTTTATAAAATTTCAACACCCTCTATCTTGAGAACGAAGCATTTGCGGACCTAGGTTTAGAGAAAAAAAAAATAAATTGTAACTACCAGCAGCCGGCAGCCACTGCCAGTAGTTTTTCAAGCAGACAAAATAGGAGAAACAAGATAACAAAGAGTGGAAACTAAGGCATTTTCTTTAGGTATCTAACTTGGAATTTCATGTGCATGGAATATCCTCCATATACAGGGTGTAAAAGTTATGGTAGTCATTATTGAAATGGGTAATAGGGGGGGGGGGCGGGTCAAAACAAGTCAAAAAGTTCATATGACCCATGGTCCAAAAGTCAACAGATTTTTGTATAAATGGCTTTATAGTTTACAACTTAAAGTGCTGTATATCGACCACAATCACCACAATCTTACTAATTTTTATAATCTAATCTGAAATGTTTTTAAATTGGGTAATTAACAAATAAATGGCATTAAGTTTATCTAAGTTAAGCCAAAATTTGTAGTCAGTAACTAAGTAAGTTTCATTAAATTAAATATTTAAAACACACATGACCACAGCGCGTCGGTTTTTCATCACTCTTATCGAACCGGCAATCGATCGCAAACGGTAACAATGGTTAGTATGTTGTTTTGTTTTTGTTCACGTACGTCGTCGTGTTTATTTACAATATTCTCGAATTAAGAGTTCACCGACATGTTCTTAGTTTACGGTGAAGCTCGTCAGAATTCAAATCTTGCAGCTCAAATTTACCGCGACAAATTTCGTCAAGTGGAAACAGGACAGCGGAGGTGTAAGAGACAAAATGCGTGGCCAGAAAGACACACACCAAACTGTTGGCGTTAGACGAAAAGCTAAGGACAAATTAGGGCTCGTCATCTGCGAGGTCAGTCTTTGAGTAAAAGAGTATTTTGACGGTCGAACAATTGAACGTGAGCCACACATGTTATTAATGGGTGATTTGTTTGCTAGTATCTTTTTGGCAACACTGTTTTTGACAGATGACGCGTGAATCGTGCCTTGTGTCATTGTCAAACTTGTTAAGTTTGGTCTATAATTTAACCATGAATCGACTTACGAACGAACATCGCTTGCAAATTATTGAATTTAACTATCAAAATTCATGCTCGGTTAAGAGCACTGCTTCCAATTTATGGGCAATTTGGTCGGCCTACTGAGGGAGCTATTCGGAAGCTTGTGACTAAATTTCGAACCCAGTTTACATTATTGGACATTAAACCACCAACACGCAGACGTAGAGTGAGGACTGAAGAAAATATTGCGGCTGTATCCGCCAGTGTTAGTGATGACCGTGAAATGTCGATTCGCCGCCATTCGCAGCAATTGGGCCTCTGTTACTCCACTAGGTGGAAAATTTTGCGACAGGATTTGGGTGTAAAACGTTTCCAATTTGGTGAATGGGCGCTGGCAAAGTTGGAGGAAGATCCACATTTTTATCGAAAAATTGTGTTCAGCTACGAAGCTCATTTCTGGTTGAATGGGTACGTTAACAAGCAAAATTGCCGCATCTGGAGTGAATACCAGCCAGGAGCATTGCAAGAGCTACCAATGCATCCCAAAAAAAAATACTGTTTGGTGTGGATTATGGGCCGGTGGCATCATCGGGCCGTACTTCTTCAAAGACGACAATGGCCGTAGTAACTGTGAATGGCGAGCGCTACCGTGCGATGATAACAAACTTTTTTTTGCCCAAAATGGAAGAGCTGGACTTGGCTGACATGTGGTTTCAACAAGTCGGTGCCACATGCCACACCGCACACGAAACAATGGCCCTATTGAGAGGCGAGTTCGGTGAACAGTTTATCTCACGTTTGAGGCCCGTCAATTGGCCGCCTAGATCGTGTGATTTAACGCCGTTGGACTATTTCTTGTGCGGCCATGTTAAGGCTAATGTCTACAGGTATAAACCAGCAACGATTGACGCACTGGAAGCCAATATTGAAGCATTTATTCGTGAGATACCGGCCGATATGTAGGAGAGAGTGTGCCAAAATTGGACCTTGCGCATGGGCCATCTAAAGCGGAGCCGCGGCCAACATTTACATGAAATAATCTTTAAACATTAAATTATATCGACCGTTCTATCGACTCAAATAAAGATTTAATCGTTTTTTCAAATTTTTTGTGTTTTTTTTGACAATCAAATCCTATACCTCTTAAAAAATCACCCGTTACATCTTTTATTAGAGCAACTGTAAACAGGAAATGCTAGAACCACCTTATTTGCTATTTTTCCAAACGTTTGGGTGTCCTGTTTCCAAGATAATGTCCATACCCATATTGCTAGAGCTATAATGGACGCTTTCCTTTCGTATCGCCCATTGAATATGAATGGGATATGATGGGAGGAAGAGTGCCCTCTTTACCTTATACTCCTCAAACGCTAGCAGTTCTTTGAAACTAAGCTACTTTGGAATAAGATACCTCAAGAAGACCCTTGAAACAAAGCGTATTAATACTTGCGTGAAATATGTAGAAAAATGGAAAATACAAACCAAATGT